TATATATATATATATATATATATATATATATATATANATAAGAGAGAGAGAGAGAGAGATATATATATATATATATATATATATATATATATACATGCATATATGTATATACATATATATATATATATATATATATATATATGTATATATATAGGCATGTGAACATAATTATCGGAGAGACATACTCGGTCATCCTCCTCCATATCAGATGCCAAGTGCAGAAGACAGAAGAAGTCCAGCAGCGTAGGCGTGAGCAGATGAGCCCTCACATAGTACACAAACACAGCCACCAGCAGGTACTATAGCCAAGTGTAATACAAAAATGAAAAAGCATATTGTAAGCGTAAGCCAACCGGAGGCGTGTACGTGTGTATTATGTATGTAGTTAGCATTGGTAACTACAGGATTTGGGTGTACATAAGTGGTGTACAGCTCAATGTGAGAAGATGAGCTCTCAAATAGTGAAAAATACTCCCACCGGCATGTACTGTTGTCAGGCTTGAAACAAATGAAGGAACAACTCGTAAAGCTGAATTTTGACGGGTGGCGTAAATATGTGTATATATGAAGGTCATCATCGGCGAGCGTACTGGCGCCAAGTGTGAGTGGCAGTAGTTTTAACGTAGGACAGACTTAAGTGTACATACACACTGCGGTAGGAGCAAAGGAAAAAGCTGGGTAGGAGCAAATGAAAATTAAATGTAATTGCCACATCACATGTGAGATTTAAGGTATCTGATATACGAACTCACACCCCGTCGATTTCTATGAGAATGTGTGAAGCAAGACATGCGTGTACAGCATATTGGCCAATTTATCGAAGTGTGCGTGTGTACAGCATAGTACGTGAAGAAAAGACATGGTTTGCTGGGTATATCTCGACTGCGAATTGCGCGTGCCCGACAAGACGTGTACATGCGGAATTCAATATTATGCAAAAGCATGGTGTATTTGCAACACAGGAGTAAACCGAATGGCCACCAAGAAAGTGCTGAATACTTGAACTATCCATGAGAGGTGGCCTTGGATAAACTAGGGCTTTAAACCACCCAGACTATCGCGATTCAAACATCCCTAGTTGACAAATAGCTTCACTTCTACACCTATAAGTGCTATTGACGGACCAATATTGTCCAGGCGCTACATGCATGTGTCGTTACGCGACCTATGTATGGTACTGTACCTTGTCAAATGGAGTGCCTAGATCACTCTCTAGAAACTCAGTCACCTCGGCACTTTCTGCATATGAAATCAGTGTTTATGCATTATTGTGTATCATTGACAACGGTAAACGTGTGCCAATGGAGGAGTATCTGAGTTCACTCAGTGGTTATATATACCAGTGTAAAATGAGAAGCAGGACTCGTTAATAACACTGCGAGATACCGGATGTAACTTTTAGCGGATGAGAAATAAAAGGGAAAATAACCCGAATCAACTGTTCAACCGTTGCCATTTCAGAGTCATAGCTGAATTTTAATCGTCGATGCACTGTGTATTCCGTTCATACCCAGATGGAGCTTGTATTGAAGTAGAATTGGGTCGACGTCAATCCAGAATTGCTCGTCCAGGCGCGGAAAGGTCAACGTAGCGGCTGAAAATCGGCAGAAAAAGCGATTGTTTTTCAATTAGACATCACCGCATCAGTGTGATACAATACATGATATGTGCGGCTTTCGAGTTTGCCTTTGCAAACATGTAAATATCTTAAATATATACTCCTCTAGGTTACATGAACACTTCACTCGGAATCAGGCGGTGCGTGGACATACCCCTTCACTATAAACTTTACACTACAGTTTATTTGTCTACACGAATACTCATTGCAGTCTACACTACACTTATACTCTACACTAAATATATACTCATTGCAGTATATGCTACACGTATACTCACTGATGCTTATATAGGTAAAGCACGTTAAAGTATGCGTTCGCAGACATGAAAAGATATCATGTTTCAAGCGATTGTCACCTTTTGAGTCGATGCGTCTAATGGCTGCAATGCGCCGGGCCGTTAGAGTGCTAGTGTTTGGGTGTTGTTGAGTGTGATTGTTTGCCTCGTACAATTCCAATTGATGGTACATAGCTTCTGATTCCGATCCTTGCGAGCTGCTGAAGCCGCTGGTGTAAAGGAAACTAGACATCCGAAAATATTTAGAGTATTGGTTTGATATCAATGTTGATACAACTTGCGTGCGTACTTGACCATGATTTCAAAGGTGGATACTAGCAAAGTTGTACTAACAAGATCTACAATCGCATTGCTCAAAGCAGTATCTAGTTTACAACATATCGCCTAGAACGTCGATCTCGACGATATATTCACTGCACCGACGTGTCCTGTGTACGTGTATAGTTGTTAGTATACGGTTATACCTGTACCTTGTGTACGTGTGTGCAGTAGGCTCTACCAATACATGAATGAAATGTATACACACCTTGAGTCGGACTCATTGGTAGTAGCCACCTCAGAGGGACACTCGGAATTGCGGCTTTGGTCGCGCAATAGAGTGACTTCTGCCTTTATATCACTAGACGCCTGAAGATGTGTAGACCCCGCCTGTGAGTTGCTTGTGACCTGTGCTGTATCTGTGGGGTGTGCACTAGTTGTCGCCTCGAGAAACTCGTTTGTGATGGTCTCGGTAGCAACTGAAGACTGACAACTGTTGAAGGAACAGAGAGAATGAAGGTGTTTTCAATGTTTTGATATAATGACATATACGTACACGAAAGCAGAGAGAGATGGGGTGGATGTCCAAAATACACCGCAAAAGAGATTGTAGCTATACAACCACACAACTGAAGATGAAACTCACTAGTCAAGCACAAATGCGAATATATCCCTTCACGATGAACAGATGTGCTAATCACTCACGATATACCACACCTACGTTTGTTCAATTCAGTGTTTACATTTGTTCACATGCCTTTAATTGAAAAAATGTTTTTGACGGGTTCAGCACGCGCTACATTCGAATTTACATCATGATGCTTATTCTTTAGACTCTACGATATCTTCTATTTTAGTGCATAACACGACACACGCATACGAATACAAGAGTCAGGGTGCTCAGCAGCGTCCAAACGCTCATTGTGTAAGAAGCAAGTATAAACGGAATGACACACCTGTGTGTAGGTGACAAGCTGCCGGTTGCACCAGCATCTGTCCCGTCGGCATTTGCAGCGCATAGTTGACTGTGTATGGTAGCGTGACGAGTAACGAATACAACGGTCCAGCAACACATATTAGTAGAGAGGCCTTGCACAGCCGCAACAATGGCCAAGCCTACTCCGTACGAGTTCTGTTGTGTTATTGCGTAGCGGTGAACCACAGCTAAAGAAGCTCACTTCGGTACTTATCTACAGACAACCACATGGTTGAGGAATGTCACACCAACACAGGCATAAACGGCATACGTGTGGTCAACTACTCGATATAGGCCACGGTAGTAGCGATAATTCATTGTTTGAGATAGTGTTTTACGAGCCGCTCTAGTGTTCCTATGTACGATGTTCTATGGGATGTGTTGTGTGTTAAGCGCCCTTCGTTCGAAGCATATGACCTACGATGAAGCTTCTATTGTCCATCAGACAAGTAAAAAAGCTTCAGAAGATACTCAGCGTGAGTCATATCAACCCAAGCTGATATGCGCTCTCCTTTCTGTTACGACTTCATGAACAAGACATCCACCCATCACTGTACTGTGATCGGCCATGTGTTGTGTATCACTTTCTATGTAGCTTGATAACATTCCTATCATGTATGCAATATATATCTATATATATATATATATATATATATATATATATATATATATATATATATATATATATATATATATATATATATATATATAATTATATAGGTAT